GTGCCTGAAAGGATCCACTTTCTGGTCTTAACTTCTAAACCCCATTATTCATAAGCTGTCTTTGGGTTTCCTGACTTCCCTGGAGACATCCCAGTCCTTGGCGACATGTGATTTATTAGGAGTGGTTTCTTCAGATCTCAMGTAGCTCGTGGGAGGACACTGGAGACCTCAAGCCTGGTTCCTGCTGCTGCTCCAGCACCAGCTCTTAGTGCTCCAGCCTCCTTCATTCACGTTCTTATTGGGGTCAGCAGACAGGAGAACTTTCTGCTTGGTTCTTCGCTATGCTGCTATCTCAGGAGAAGAGCCTTCAGTGCTTGAGCTCAGTGTTTTAAAGGCAAGTCGCAGCAAGTAACTGAATGTAGGTGGCTTGGCTGTCAGACAGCAAGATACTGGGAAGCTTTGCAGCCTGTTAGCCCTGGGTACCACCCAAAAAGGCAAAATTCCTTATGCCAGTGAACTCCCCATGGTCTTGCCAAAGCAAGTGATTAAGTGCAGGCAGGGTGAGAAMTCTCTAAACTGTCTTTATCTGCTGGCTCTGTTTCCCCTTTCCTCTCGGCACTGAAGGCCAGAGCTTATTTAACAGCCCAAGCACATGCAACAGAAGGCTGCCCCGACTCCTTGCAAAAACGGAGATGCTGCAGGGAAATAAATAATCTATTGGTCTGACATGCACCATTAAACCRTATCAATAAAAGATGAGTATGGGGTGACTTATGACAAATACTGCACTACTTGCTTTTATTTCTTTAAGTATAGCGTTTCTGCAGAAAGCAAAGTGCCCCAGTAGGCAAAGGAGCGATTCCAATTCCGCCCATGTGGATTTACTGCTGGTAGCAGGTGTCTCACAMAGAATTCCAGCCCTCCCCCTCCTCAAGGAAGCAAATGATATCTTTCAGAATGACCAACATCTACATTGCTTATTTTGCTCTTTGCTGTTTGTATTCATGTGCCAGGGGTAGGCAGACATCTCAGCATGCAGACAGGAGCCTGAAGTTTTATTGCATTTCTTGCTGCCAGCATTTGCGAGAGGTCTGCAGATGGGAGGACCTGGCTCCACCCCATGTCCTTACCCAGCTGATATTCCTATGCKATGTGTCCCTGCACCCCCTTTACTGCACATCAGTCCCTCAGGGAGCAAAACAAAGAACATCAGCAGCCAAGTCCTGGATGGACCCCTGGAGTATTCCCACAGCAGCCTAACAGGGACAAGGCTGAGTGCTGAGAGCCCAGACAGGTCCAGCGTGCTGTCACCATGTGAATCCTGGCAGTGCAACGCCTGTGTCCTCAGCAGGTGTCCTCCTGGTGTGGAGAGCAGCAGCACGGCGCCAAGGTCGGCTGCACACCTGACTGTTTGCAGGTGGCTTAGGAGATAGCAGCCTTCTGCTTAGTAAATGAGCCATGCCAGGCAAGGGGAGCACTGTCCATTACTGCAGGCAAAGGAGGGAGAGTGCACACACGAGGTAAAGGGTTTAACGCTTGTTTTCTACTCTATTGCCAGCTGCTGCCGCAAAGAAATCAACTGAGATATGTTTGATGCTGCGTGACATCCAAATAACCTGCCATCCTGCCTGCTACTCAGGCTACCTCTACGGAGCGGGCCACAGAAAAGCCTCARTTCACCTATTTCCAGCTCTTGCTTCAGCAGGTTATTGATGTGTAGGTCGTAACACAGCAGCACGGCAACGCGGCAGAGTAATGATGGTAACAGTCTCATTAACCTTTCCACGGATATACAATCTGCCACATGTTGGTTGCATATCCCTTTGTAAAGAGTGGGCTTAGGGGCCTCAAAAGTGCTATCTTAAAACTATCCAATAAACGTAATTGCTGAAAGACTCCTAACGGCAACGCACGGGGAAGGCAGAAACGTGCAGGCGCGCTCAGAACTGCGGGTCTGTTTACGAGCTTCTCCTGGCTTCAGGAGCAACGCCGCCGCGCGATTGCACATTAACTGCTTTGGACGGCCAGCGTGCCTGCGCGTTTCCCAGCCTGAACGCTGACCACCCACACGAGGAAGGGCAAAAAGGCAAAGAGCAATTGCTCTAGGTGCGTACGCTGGTGTAACACCTCATGAGGAAGCAAGGGTTTTCGTCYGGCACCAGATGCAGCATTGGATGCATTTCTGGAGGCAGCATTGCTGCAGTCACTCTAGCTTTGTCACTGTATGCAAAATAATGCAGACGCCTGGGATGCATGTGTGACCTCCTCCGCTGATGGCACGTTTGCCCCACTAATACGTATGAAGGATGCAGGAGAATAAAACAAGTGTCAGGCCACCTGGCCTATAAAAATCTCAGCTTAAAAAAACTAAAACCAAAAACTCATTCTGGGTCTGTTCTCTCTCCCTGCAAAAGGCACCAGGCCAAGGACAGGAGACTTGTACAGTTTGGTGTGCTAGATACCCTTGGAGGGGGGTATCAAACAACTGAAAGCTGTCCGTTTGCTGCTGCAATTGTGCAACTTGTATCAATTCAACATGCAGCTGCAGCATCTTTACTGCTGTCACCTGAGGCTGGTCCTTGGTCCATGGGTACAGTGATCTACATAGTGGTACCAGAATTTTGCAGCAATTAAACAGAAAAAAAAAAGGCAGCACTGTGCAAGCTGCTAGTGGGAAGAGGAGGAGAGTGCTGGGAAGGGAATAGCTCATTTCCCTTGCACAGAAGKAAGGATGGACCAAACGCCACTGCTACTCATGATCACATGGGGAGAAAAGTGAGGATTTGGTAGAAGCCTTAGGTACCTTCTTGTATTAAAAGGCAGCAGAAATCCAGGAGAGGTGGCCTTGGGGACCCTGCGGATGGCGTCACTGTGGCCTCTTCAAAGATACCTTGCTAAAAACAGATGAGGTGTGCTCATCAGTCGTCACTGCACACAAAAGCAAATGTCAAAGCTTGGGTTTCCATGGAGAACGTATCACATCTTCCCCTGGCAACCCTTCCCTAGGCAACACCAGGACCTGGCTATTGTGTTTGCAGAAAGGGGCTGGCTTAGGGGGTCAAGGTGAGCATCCCTGCTTGTCCCTTACCCAGTGGCCCAGGCAGGCAGGGAGGGCTCAAAAGCTCCTCGCTGCTTGGGGGTTTTCTCTATTCCCACACTGTTTTCATCAGACCTGGAGGATCTCCTCAACACCCTCTTAAAAAGGCATCGCTCCATCTTTGCTGCTAAATGGCTACGTGTTCCTGAAGCTGAAAGCCTCCTCCACTACGGCCTCTTGCCACCGGCCTTGGCTCCCATCAAGCCCGGGCAGCAGGATCTTGGATGATTCTCCTTGGGAGCAGGGAGCTCAGAATTTGTYTACTGGAAGCTGTACCAAACACACTTCTTTCCTGCTCAAGATAACCCAAACCATGTGAAGTCTTGCTGACACCACCAAGCCCACCCTGTGCAGAGTTGCTTCTTCTACACTGATAGGCAATGCACCAGGCAAAGAATAGTAATTATTTTATTGATTCTTTCTTCCTGAAACAAAGGCGCTAGAGTGAGACTTTGCCATTATTCAATGATAGGAAAGCTCTCAAAATCATGTCCCTCCCAAAAGTGACAGTGTCCACGCACCAATGACTAATATTGCTTTAAAAATGTTTTACTGCCAAGGCATTCAGTCATGACTGGCAGGGGGGGGGATATCAGAACAAATAAATTACAGTAGTCCCTGGCAAAAGGGTCGCTGCGTTCTCTGTTCTGGGGGGGGGGG